AATCATAATTAAATTTTTGAAATCAAAGTAATTTTTATGCCATTTTAGAATATTGTCAAACAATATTTTATGCATGTTTACACACTCCCTGGTCATATATTGTGTGCTTCGCAGGCAGGTGAGTGGGCTTGCCTCTTTCCTTTCTATGCACTAGGCACTTCATTAGAAACACTTCTATGTTTTCTACGTTTGTTTGTATTGCTAGGATATTTTTATCATTTGTTCTATTTTCTATAGCTAAGGTTTTAAATATTTAATATTTTCTATAGCTATAGCTAGGCCCACGCGGAATCTGCGCGCACAGAAATCTGCAGATTTTTAGCCCATCATCGAGTCTATTGATTTGTGTAAATGTATGTAAATTTCTATTTATTCAGTTTTTTAAAATTATTTCAATACTATAATTGACTAATATTTAAATGTTCATATGATTTATTTACAGTACAGTTTTAAGTAGATATATTATATGAGAGACGTGCGTTGTTTCCCAATTAAGTGGATCTAATTGGATTTGTATAGAAGGCAATAAATAAAATTTAAAAGGTATTATTTGTATTTTATACATTTTTTAGTTACAAAACTCCCAAAATCATTCTGCATAAATTGACAGATTATTTTTACAAAATTCAGTTTTATTAAACCTTATATTTTTTATCTAAAATTGTGTCTAAAATTCTTACTTCTTATTATACTCCATTATAAAAAGTAGAAATGATGATTAATTATTAGGGAAAAATTTTCAATACTATGATGAATTGATTAAAATTCTGACAATATGATGTTAGAATCAGATTAACATCAAGGCGAGTAAACAAGGATAGATTTTTTGTACACTATCCTTAATAAACATAATATAATCTAAAATAACGTTTTTTATTTCATTCACAGCCGACTGTAAGCCAGTGTGTTTAAACGGAGGGACATGTCTGAAACCAAATGTATGTGTTTGCCCCAGTGGCTTCTATGGTTCACAATGCCAGATAGGTACAACTACTTTATAGCAAATATTAAATTCATATACTATAAATAATGCTGCAGATAAGCTAAATGGCATTAATTATGTGATTGTTGTAGCTCTTTGCAATCCGCCATGTAAAAACAGAGGCCAGTGTATGAGAAACAACGTTTGCTCCTGTCCTGAAGGATACACTGGGAAGAGATGCCAGAAAAGTAAGGGATTAGTTCTGTTCTGTTTTTTTTTTTCTGTTGTTGTGATTTTATTTTTACATCCAGCGCGAGTACTAGCATATTATGTGGTTTGCATGTGTGCAATGTTTTTTTAGGTGTGTGTGACCCCATGTGCTTGAACAACGGGAAGTGTGTCGGCCCAAACACCTGTTCCTGTCCATCTGGATGGAGAGGAGGGATTTGCAACATCCGTAAGAAAAAAAACTTTTGGGGGATTGATATTAATGTTTTAATGTTTGGAAAATAGAGTCTTTTGCTCACCAATTGTCAATTCATTATATTAAAAATACAGACAAAAAACGAAGATAAATGTTTTCTGTTTAATATACAGTATATTGCATAGATTAAATGTATATATTGTGTTGGATTTTTGTCCTAACAAAGCTGAATTCTCATTTCCATCATTACTTTAGACTTTAAATAATAACACTGTAAGGCCCCGTTTACACTTATGCATTATGCAAGTTTTGCTACGGTTACGCCATCCGTCCACATTACGCTGGAGTTTTCGAGTGCTGAAAACGGAGCGTTTTGGAATGAAATGTTTTCATTCTAAAGCGCTGCTGCTCTGTCTCAGTGTGGATGAGGGAAAACTGAGACATCTGAAAACGAAGGCAGGGCTGCAGACTACGCCTCTCTGATTGGGGCTTTTGCTCAATATTAAGTAGCCTACACACAGTTCAGTTCTGCATCCTCTCTTTGTAAGTTCTGGCTTTGCAAGTTTGATATGAAAAACAGTCTCCTGAGGACATGTCGCTAAATCTTCAAAGGGAACAGCGTACTTTAAAAACATTGTTTCACTTCCTTTACAATAAAATGAAAACATGATATAAGGAACTGCTTTTTTCATTTTGATATTAGCAACTTAACAGACAGCAGAAATGGGCCGTCGTGCTGCATATTTGAGCGTCATCTTCACTGTAAGCTAATTTATAACCAAACGGAGCCTATAACATCACTGCCTCCTTTCATTTTCAGTAGAAATATAAAAACATAGCCTCTCTTTAGCTGAATTTCAGTTTTAATAATCAATAATGGCCTTTATAAAAGTATAACGTACAATAAGTTTACACATCATAGGAAATAAAAGCAAACAATCAGCATGTGGAGTGCGTGAACGAGACAGAATGCAACAACACCAGGACAAGACAGAATGCAAGACACATTGCAAGTACACAATAAATAAAACACTTACCGTGAACTCACATGCGGCATGCATGTTTCCGATCCCAGCGCTAACCGAAACCACAGCTATGAGATCGAAAACACCATACTGCGGACAAAACACACACCAGGATGAGAGTGCACATCCCTAGCACGCCCGGAACTCACACGTCTGCATTAATAGGGATCGCGCACGGCCCCAACGCATGCAAGACATCGCTCATACAAAAGAAGGAGACAGACCAGAACAGGATAAGAGCCAAAAACTCGAGCCAAGCACAACATACAAGACAAGACAGGACTAGTGTCTGGACTCTGCCACCAAAACAAGAATTGACTAAAGGGGCAGAAATGATTCCATTAGCTGAGTTGGCTAGTTTAGAAACTTGTCTTATCATTTGTGTTATTAATGTTATTTACAGAATACTAAATAAAATAAAGCAATTTAACATTAAAATGATTATAAAAAGAAGTGTTGACTTTCCAAAACTTAAAGTTTAAATTTGGCTGATTTAGATTTTTTTCTCTCAGAATTGTGACTCTATATCTTGCAATTTTTTGTTAACTTTACAATATATCTCATAGTTCTGTGGAAAAAAATAATTGCGAGATATAAACTTGGATCTATGACATATGAATTCAGAATTATAGGCTAAAGTATATAATTATATTTTTAATCCTTGATGGAAATGGTTTTCTGTTAAAGAAATAAAAGTTCTGCTAATTAATATTTTTGTGGACGATACCTTTTTTGAGCGACAAAAATCTTTAACAGCAGTATATATACTCAACAAATGTTCCAATTTTAACATTAACTAAAGCTTTGTCTTGAAATCTCAAACACATACGTCATAACACAGAGTGTTGTCTGTGTGTGTGCAGCTGTGTGTTTACAGAAATGCAGGAATGGTGGAGAGTGTGTTGGGCCGAACACCTGCCACTGTCCAGCTGGATGGGAGGGTTGGCAGTGCCAAACTCGTAAGTCTTGACGAATCCGAATTGCTTATTGTATTGAATATAGTATAGATATTTTACACTTAAATTTCTTTCCTAACAGCGATCTGTAAGCAAACATGCCTGAATGGAGGCAGATGTGTGTTCCCTAATTTCTGCCATTGCCGTCAAGGTTACACTGGACCTTCTTGTGGCACTAAAGTGAGTATTTCACAAACACACAGCCTAAGATTTCAACTCCTAAATGATTTGTTGTTGCAGATAGGTCAAAGATAAGGAGTTTTATATACAATATTGGGGAAATACAGCTTTAAATTTAGTTTTGTATGCTGTTAAATTAATTTATTTTTCTGCAAAACATGTAATGACCATCCTTTGATTATTGTTTATAAAATACAAGTCATTAATTGTCATTTTAAATCATTATACAGTAGAAGTCAGAATTATTAGCCCCCCTCTGAGTTTTATTTTTCTTCTTTTTTAAATATTTCCCAAATGGTGTTTAACAGAGCAAGGCAATTTACACAGTATGTCTGATAATATTTTTTCTTCTGGAGAAAGTTTTATTTGTTTTATTTCGGCTAGAATAAAAGCAGTTCTTAATTTTTTAAACACTATTTAAGGTCAAAATTATTAGCCCCTTTAAACTACATATTTTTTCAATAGTCTACAGAACAAACCATCATTATACAATAACTTGCCTAATTACCCTAACCTGTCTAGTTAACCTAATTACTCTAGTTAAGCCTTTAAATGTCACTTTAAGCTGTATAGAAGTGTCCTGAAAAAATATATAGTCAAATATTACTTATTGTCATCATGGCAAAGATAAAATAAATCAGTTATTAAAAATGAGTTAAAACTATTATGTTTAGAAATGTGTTGAAGAAATCTTCTTTCCGATAAACAGAAATTGGGGAAAAAAATAAACAAGGGGGCTAAAAATTCTGACTTCAACTGTACTTTGCCAATATCCTTTAAACTTCTAGGTTTTACACTTTCGTCAACAAGATCAAATTGAATAAAAATCAAATGTTGAATGATCAATTATTTTTATATTTTTAAATAAGTACAGGTCAGAATGAGAATTTATTGCTTAATCTTTGCATTTAATATGCTTTTAGAGTATGCAAAAAATATATATATATAAAAAAATAACCATAATTTGGTGTAAATATCAACATAAGACCTTTTGTCTAAGATCTATATATAATGTTTTGAGTTTATTTTAGGCAACAAAGATGAACTGATTGTATTTTTTTATTTTACTTACAGACCAGGTGATGAAGACGTGACATTGAAGAGATATATATAAGAAATTGAAATGCTGTTTATGAGTAAATGCTGTTGTATTTGTGCCCTAAAAGTAAAGTAAAGCTTATTTTTAGGGTTTTTTTACCTTAGATTACTACAGTGTTTCATGAGTAATGTGTGTTGGTTTTTAAATGTCGCATAGCTCTGAAAATGAATGCTTTTTGTTTAATTGTTGGTTTAGTGTGCCTTTTCTCAATAAAAAGAAAAGTGTTTGACCACAAAAACTAAAATGAATCTTTTCTAGAACAAGTTGCTGCAACATAAAACATATACCAGAGTAATCGGCGGTTCATCCTGCTGTGGTGACTCCCGATAAATAAGGGACTAAGCTGAAGGAGAGTGAATGAGTGAGTGAAATGAAGTTGCACACACACACAAAATTATAGATTTAACTTTATTTAATCATTCTCACTGTTTCGTGGGAATTCCAACAGTTATTGTAAACAGTACTCAATACACAAGTCGTTCATGTACAGTGATAATGTAGAAAAAGCATCACACACACACATGCTAGGGTTCAGACAAACAAACAAGTAACTTTAGCACCGATGTTATGGGACGGGGTGAGATCAGACTATTCTGACATCAGTAAAGCTTCTTCCTCTCTTCACACTGCGGTCCGGTGAACAGACCCCGACAGCGACAGGTGTTTGGAGACACACATTTCCCTCCGTTCACACATGGCTTTTTACAAACAGCTGCAGACAGATGGAAAGCATTACTGGTTTAAAAGGGTTTACAAAGGCAACTACAACTGTTTTTTTTTTTCAGAAAAGGCAAATATCTCACTTTAAATATATACCTTTTATGGCAGTGTTTCTCAACCATGTTCCTGGAGGACCACCTGCACTGCATGTTTTGGATGTCTCCTTTGTGTTTCACAGGCATTACAGGTCTTTCAGTCTCTGCTAATGAGCTGATGATCTGAATCAGGTGTGTTTGGGTAAAGAGACATGGAAAATGTGCAGAGCTGGTGGTCCTCCTGGAACATGGTTGTGAAACACTGCTCTATGGGATGATATAAAATGTAAAAAACCAAATAGTTACTTTACTTTAAAGAAGTGAGTAAGACTATTGCCTTAAAAGCAACAAGTTGCCTTTACTTAAAGTGAGTAAACTTGTTGACTCAACCTTTATGAATATGCACATAGTTTGTTTACTTCTACTTCTACTTGTTTACTTGGTCACACTGGACTTTTCGCCCCATAGACTTCCATTCATACTCATGCGAATGTGTTGCAGCAGCTCAAGAGACAAATTTTGCAGTTTGAGAAATCACATCTTGTGACTGTGTGAGACTAATCAAAGATCAAAACATGATCTCTCTGGACAGAAATGTGAAATATGAACCAATCGCTTGCTTATTTAAATGTATAATTACGTTGTTTAATCCTGCCCCTTTTTACAGTGCTGTATGACAGAATTTCACAAGCTCAAACTCTAGTTTGACCGCAGCATAACTCTCCTTTTGAAGTAAAGTCAACTAATTGCTTTTTTTTTACAGCACACAGAGAGATATTTAGTTAGTCATTACCAAAGTAAAAAAAAAATCAATACTAATCACATATTTATCATCACCATGCAAAAATAACACCCCAATATACCCAAAATACATACAAAATACACCCCACTGAATATGTTAGAGAATCTATAAAATAAACATTATTAAATTTAATAGCGTTTAGGGTTTTTTGTAGGTAATATTTTTATTTACACACACAGTATATATAATTATTTATATATTTATTTTTTTACACATTTTGAATATGAATTCATTATTTTTATTATCCTAAGGATGGTAAGTGACTACACTTTTATTTTAATAAATATTATAAATTTAAGAACAAATGTGGCGTATATAAATTGTACATATTTAAGAAGAACAACTAAGAAGAAATGGATATTAATTTTAGTTTATGCTGCATAGGCACTGTATGAATCTGCACAATAACAACCTAACTGTAGGCATTTAAAGGCACAGTTCACCCTAAAATAAAAATAACCTTACGATTTACTCACACTCAAGTGCTTCTAAACTTTTATGAACTTATTTCTTCTGTTGAACATAAAACAAGATATTGTGAAGAATGTTGGAAAAAAAATACTACAGAAGTCAATGGCTATTTTGCAACATTCTTTAACAGAAGAAACTCAAAACCGGTTTGGAGCAAGTATATGAATTTTATGTGAGCTATTCCTTTAAGAATGATTGTGTATGGATGTTTGCATGGGCATCCACCTGTGTGGCAGGCTCCACCTATCCACCCATCTGGACAGCTGCAGATCCCAGGAGCCACACAGATGCCTCCGTTCTTACATCCCTGAGGACAGATCGCTGCCAAAACACAGACAAACGATCCATATGTGAACACTGCATTAACATCTAGACACAACAGTCCAAAAGCATGTACATGTATGAGCTTGATTATAACATGAACACTTGTACTAAGTGGACACATTCGTCTGGGCTCATGAGAATATTTTGCGTCTCACTGACTACAAAAACTTGATAAAATTTCTTCAAATATTATAATCAAACTACTGTCATTTAGAGCGTTTTACCAAGAAAAGACATTTTCCTTAGAACAATGTGTTATCATTTGTTGAAAATTAATATACACTCACTGGCCACTTTATTAGGTACACATGTCCAACTACTCGTTAACACAATTTTCTAATCAGCCAATCACATGGCAGCAACTCAATGCATTAAGGCATGTAGACATGGTCAAAATGATCTGCTGCAGTTCAACCTGATCATCAGGATGGGGAAGAAAAGTGATTTAAGTGACTTTGAACGTGGCATGGTTGTTGGCGCCAGACGAGCTGGTTTGAGTATTTCAGAAACTGCTGATCTACTGGCATTTTCATGCACAACCATCTCTGGGGTTTACATAGAATGGTCTGAAAAAGAGAAAATATTCAGTAAGCGGCAGTTCTGTGGACACAAATGCCTTGCTGATGCCAGAGGTCAGAGGAGAATGGCCGGATAATGATAAGATAAAAACAACACATTTCAAAAATTAGTCTCTCCAATCTATTGCAGGGAGTTTTTTAATGATTGCAATCTAAAAATTGCAACTTTTTAAAAACTTTATGGCATTATTTGCTTTTTAACTGGAAGGATGGAAAATTGCTCAAAACGCCAAAATTTTTATTTGGAATTTGGAAGAAATGTCAGTAGTTCACTGAATAAAATTAAAATTACATTTTATTTATGCATACAACTATAACTCATAACACATATATATTGAGTGCCTTAGTGCCCCCACCAGGGCCGATATACAGCCATATCGCACAGCTACTCGTGTGATATTGCGTTTATACAACAGTTTGATGACATAATTGTGTATATAAAAACAAAATCAAACATGGAGAGTCTTAAAAACCCTTTTGTATGAGGAACTACTTTCTTCCGCATTGCATTCAAATCATAAGCTGACAGTAAAAGCATCTTTTAAACTTTAGATCTGTAGTGTCTGCTTTTTGCTGGCTGTATGTGTGCGGAGTAATACACAAAGGGTAAAGAGGCTGTAGGAGTTCTGATATTGCAGAATATCGCACGGCTTTCAGCCAATCAGATTTAAGAACCAGACAGAACTGTTGTATAAATACACACACACACACACACACACACACACACACACATATATATATATATATTGTTATAAGTTATAAAATGCAGTCACATAATTTTCATCTGTCAAATTTATAATGTGTTCCACGTTTATGACTCTTCCCCTGTCTGTTTGTCGCAATACAGCTGACATTATTTGTGAAATATAAACATGGGATCAACAAACCGTCTTGGCATCTGGAGCCGGTCCAGCTGGATGGACAGATGCATTTGGCTTCTCCATTCACAGCAGTACACTCACCACCGTTCCAACAGCCAGCGTCACACACCACTGACAAAAACACACACACACAGGTTTAGAAATGATTTTTTTTATCTTAGTTTTGAATTTTGTAATTGTTAAAAACATGATGTATGTGATTAAAAAGTTACCTCTGTGACAGAATTTTCCTCCAAATCCTGAAGGGCATCTGCATTTTCCCGGTCGAAGGCACTCTCCACCATTTTTGCACTTTGGATAACAGTTTGCTGAAATGAACACATGAATCTTTTGAGTTTTGCCACAGAACATATTCTCAGTTTCACTAGATGCAAATTACATATATGACATACAAGTTCACATTTAGATTTCATACATAGAAAAAACACATAAAATATGCAACAAATATTGCAAAATATTGCAAATGAATTGATGTTTACATATATATTATTTCAAACATTGAAATTACAAATATGTGCATATATGTTCACATATATATACAGTCAAGCCTAAAAATATTCATATATGTGGGGTATGAATAATTTCGGGCTTAACTATTTGCCATAGATATGTCATTTGACACATATACAAATATATACAATTATAATGTATTTGAACATGTCTAACACATACACACACACACATCCATAATGTTCGTTGGAATTGCATATGCATGTGTGTATGTATATATATATATATATATATATATATATATATATATATATATATATATATATATATATATATATATATATATATATATGTGTGTGTGTGTGTGTATATAAATAAATGTGTGTATATATATATTTATATATATATATATATATATGTGTGTGTGTGTGTGTGAGTATATAAATAAATATATACACACACACACACACACACATATATATATATATATATATATATATATACACACACACACACACACACACACACACACACACATGCAATTCCAACGGACATTATAGCAATATTTTGAAATTACTGGTGATATTTCTTTCAAATTTTAAAATGAAATGTTCTTAGAGTTTGACAACACAAAATCAATTTCAGAAGAGCATTTGATGAAAAATAATCCTGCATTTTCAGACACAATTGAAAATATTAAGTTATTCTGATAGTCATTCTTTACAAAATAAAACTAAATGACAATAATATTATTTAAAAAAAACTAAGTAAATGTTCACTAAAACATCAATATTTTACTCAAGCATACACCTAATACATACAGTAAATGCAGAAAAACTGAGTGCTGTCAGACAGTTTCTTATTTTGTTTTTTTCTATACACACTGTAAAAATGACAAAAAAGTCATGATAACAAAGAAAAAAACAAACAGTTAATCAGGTTTCAACTTAGTTTTTAAGTTGTACAAATTAACTTAATATTTTTAGTCAGTCTGATTGATGTACAGTAAGTTAAGATGAATAGAAACATTCAGTTGATTCAACTGAGAAACTTTGAGTAGCAAGAACTTTTTAAAAGTGCAGCACAAGTTTGATGCAATGCAGAACAACTCACCAAATTGGCAGGTTTCTCCCTCGTATCCTCTGGAGCAGAAGCAGGTGTTGTTTCGGATGCAGATCCCAGCATGTTTGCAAGGCGGGTCGCACGTCGCTTTGGGGTCAAAAACAAAAGGAAGAGCCACCCCACGGGGCCCGTCAGACCCTCCCAGACTGATGCCAACCAGAGCGGCCAGTGCCAACAGCAAGAGCTGCATAGACATACAGCAAAGCCCTGCCATTTTCATATCCGCACACTTTCAAGAATCCAGGAGGACTGGGAGTGTTGGAGAAAGTGTGTTTGGGTCACAGCGATCCCCTACTGGACTCGCACAGCATCACAGGCACACACAGCTGGAAAACTACTAACTTTTACAGAGGAATGTGAGACAGACAAGGTCAGAGTGTGTGCTCAGAGGTTTTCTGTGTTTTACACTCTGCTCCGAGAGCATGAAATAACTTTTTAAACAATATCTGCATGTAAATCTGCACAACAGATGAAGTATTGAGTTGGTTTTCACATATTGATAAGTCAGAATCATATTAGGTGTTTGAGTGTTTGCTTGAAATATGTAAAGAAATCCTATATTTTAGTTTTTTAGGTTTGGATATGAAACTCCTTCAACAAACGGCCCCAAAATTATTCTAATCACCTTGTGACTTTTTTCAGTTTTTAAAGAGGAAAAGATAAATAATTTTTAAGGTAAAACATTCAATTATTTTCTTTTTAGCTTTGTCTCTTTATTAATGAACCGCCAACTTATCCAGCATATGTTTTATGCAGCAGAAGCAATCTGTCACTGGGAAACATCCACACACACTCATTCACACTCATGCACTCCAGACAATTTAGCTTACCCAATTTGCCTGTACCACATGTCTTTGGACTATTGAGAAAACGGAGCACCCGTAGGAAATCCACATGAACTCAGGGAGAACATGCAAACTCCATGCAGAAATGCCAACTGACCCAGCCGAGGCTCAAACCAGTGACCTTCTTGCTGTGAGGCGAGAGCACTACCCACTGCGTTGCCTTAAGGTAAAACAGTTTAAAAATAAATAAATAAAATGTTAATGACAAGAGTACAGCTTTCAGAAAAGTCTAGTATTACAGTACACATGCTATAGATCAAGTGAAACGATCAATATAGATCTTGATATGCTGCACAATGGTACATTAGTTGAAATAAATCACATGTATATTCATAAAAAAATTTAAATCCTATTTTAATGCATTTTAAATTAAGAAACTGAATAATCCGCATCCATTATAAAACAAAAGTTATTTAAAACAAAATCTTTTGTAGTAAATTACTGTCACGTTTGAATGTAATGGATTTTTAATTATTTATTAATTAATTTCAATAAAGATTTGAATTTGAATTGCAGTCTATATTGGTCAAGACCTCCAATTCTGGAGTCTGCATTAAATGAAATTTACAGAAATTATGATTTTATGTATGTTTAAAGTACATTATGTGTTTCCACTTAACATTTTTCAACTTTATTTTTCTACTTCCAACATATGAGTGAACAAATGATAAGCAGCATAATGCAAGTGTGCTCAAAAATAATCTGGGGCCACTATAAAACTCAGAAAGCCTGTTATGTGTAAATGAACACTAATCTGTAGCAAAATAGCAACTAGTAAGACCATGTCTTATTTCTATGTTTTGAATGATCGTCCCCTCATTCACTATGCAGATCCCAGGAAATGTGAGGAAATGGCTTCTGCAGATGTCTTGAGAATTTCCCTCCTCCTCAATGAAAGCTGCCAGCTAATATATTTCCCTCTGCATGTATTATCTAAAAACAGGGAAGATTTTGGATTGTTGGGATGGATTTATTAAACGTTTTGTTGGCACATTGACTACAGCATGACAGATGTTAAACTTTCAGATTGTTTTGTAGGGGAATGGGCATATTATTGTAACACTATCTGCCTAAATTGGTGGTTCATTCATGGTAAATCACTGCATGAAGAACATCAGACCGTTTTTTTCTTTCAGGGGCCCATTAAAGTGGAACCAGAGGAGCTGCTGTGCTGTTCAGAGTCAAGAGAGGAAGTGAGGAGGAACTTTAATGGCATCAACATATGTGCAGAAAACACATCTTTCTTCACAGGAAAATGTAAACATACGCACGGAGACCATTTGTGCCTCAACATTTCGGCTTATGACAAGGTAAACCATTTTCATGAATACTAGCCTAGCCTACTTACCCACATTATATGAGGCGTAAAAGTAAAGTCCATCATAAAACTGTAATTGAACAATTGAATCACCTCAGGTTGTAGTGGTTACAACACTACATGTGTGCGTGTGCGTTATACATGTGTGTATAACGTGTCGTATTTGAGCGTTTTTTAAACTCCTAAAAGTATTTTACCTCACTTGAACACGTTGAAGTAGGCCATGATTGTAACTTGCGTGCGCCATCTAGTGGAATATCGCTACAGTCACAACAGGATTCTCTGGAAACAGATGTTGATACGATTCAGCTTGACGTTTATTAATAAATATTGACTGTTAATATCAATAAAATAGTAAGATAATGTGTTATATTTACGCCAATACACTGTGTAATCATATTTAAAATAGGCCGATCTTCTCATTTCAAATTGTGCTAATTGTATTAGCATCCTCAGTAGTCATTGGTCCTAACTAACTCATACTCGTGTAATGTTAAGAAAAAAATTATTAACGTTAGCAGGCCTATATAAAAATAGATATGTGCCACAAAAGCAGGGGAAAAGCTTTTTTTTTTGTTATACTATATGTAACAGGTGTTATATTATTTTTATTAATTTCACTCAAAATTCTCCTTGTTATTCATCAATTATTTTTATTTAATTGTGTATTTTCAAAGTTGTTCTTTATATATCTTATATTTCAGAGTTAATGAAATCATAGTTGTGTTTGTTTTCAATGTGTTGGTGTATTTTGGAAAATTGCGCGTGGCCCCTTTAAGTGTCGTTTTCCGGTTCCGCCTGCTCTCACTCAGTTCGCGGCAAACGCGATTGAGGAGAGGTTGGTGAGCTCCTAAGGAAGGCACATATACTCAGCTTTGCCATTTGTTTGCTTTATTCATACAGAATAAAAGCCTGTTAATTCCCATATGACTGGTTCCTTTCGCCTAATCACAACACAACGCAGAGTAAAGCGAGGACCGGTCACATTGGTGCCGTGACTTTCAACTGATGTGTCATCATGGATTCTGCTTGATCAACGCCAGTTTGGTCGCCGGGGTGTACTGCATCGTTGGACATCTGATTTCTGCTGGTATCTGTGTCAAAAGGGAAGAGGTTGGACATTAACCCGTGCATACAGAAAAAAAAGAAGCTGAAAGTTTGAAATTAATCTTACCAAAGATAAGATTAAAAATAACAAGAAAGAAAAGAAGAATAATATAAGAAGAAAAATATAAAGGACAAAAAAAAAAAAAAAAAAAACAATTACTTGTGAATTAATTTTACATTAATGATCTGACTATTTTTTTGTTTTATCAACTGTTCATTTTTGGTGATCATTATTAATTAAGATGTCACAAGAGGGTGAGAAGACAGATCTTTCAGCTAGTAATGGGTTTGAATTGGGTTTTGCTAGGGGGCGTATCTTTGGTGAACTTGAACATACCCCACTAAGAAGAGCTGTTAATTTTGGTAGTCCCAATTTTTGCTCTACCCGTACTTCTGATAGGGTGCACAATACTGAACAGTGTGTAAATGCTGAGTCACATGATAATAAGTGCAGTAACACTGACCTGAGTAATTTGATCACACAGCTGGCTCAACAAATAGGTCAGTCAATATCTGATCAGCTGAAAAAAGGTAGCGAAAAGAATGAAACTATTGATAATCAACCACAGAGCATAAGAACAAGCCAGGTTCTCACTGAGTCACCGTCTCTCAATTTAACTGGTATGAAGCTGGTTATGAAGCCTGATGTTAAGGCACCCCCCTGCTTCAGAGGGGATGGATCTGACAAATTGACAGTACATGAGTGGGAAGAACTCATGAACGTTTATCTAAGAAAGAAAGGCATCCCTCTACCTGAACAAGCTGATGAAATTATGTCGAACTTAACAGGCAGAGCCAAAGATATAATAAAGATTACTCTTCGTAGCAACCCATTATTGCAGCCACAAAAAGACCCAAGAGTTGTCACAGACATACTAAAGCAACATTTCAGTGACTTGACATATTCTTCGATGCCGCTAGCTGATTTTTATGGTACCTTACCTGTTCCAGGAGAAACTGCTATGGAGTATTGGATTCGGCTTAATAAAGCTGTTGATATAGCAGATGAGTGTTTGAGGAGACAGGGACGAAGTATTGAAGATCCCAACCGTGAAGTGACGATGATGTTTGTTAAATACTGCCCTGATCATTCTCTTTCTGCCATCTTAAAATTTAAGACTGCTGATAAATGGACTGCAGCTGAAATACAAGAACGCCTTGATGAATTTCAAGCTGAGAAAAGAGCGCAGATGAAGGCACAGTCTAATCGTTCTGCCTTTATGAAGCCTGTTGCCACTTATGCTCAAGCACCGACTTTGGATGTTGAATTGTCTGGGAATGAACCAGATGTATCAGCAGGTCAAAATGTGTCACCATTACCACCATCAGTTCAGTCAAGCGACAGTTGCACACAGTCTCTTATCAATCTGCTTGATCGTGTGCTGAAACAAAATGCACAGACTCCATCTGTACCTGAAGATTATAGACATGCGAATGCGAGACGGATGTTTTGCAAAGTGTGCAGAGCTACTAATCATTCTACAGTAGCGCATTGCAGAAGAGAAGGTTTGTGCCTGTCTTGCTTTGAATATGGACACAGAAAGAGAGAGTGCCCGAACTGGAGTAGTCGACACAGTCCAGACGTAAACTACTCCTCACAAGGAACTGGTCCGTTAAACCATTAGACCCACATTCGGTGAGGGGATGTGTGGGTGATGATGAAACCCTCATAATGGATCTGGAACGACAGTATGAGAATGCATGTAATGCAGTTTCTGATGGTACTCATGTTATATACACACAAAATATACAGAAAATAAGGCCTTTTGACGATTTATTCTATACCTCTGTGATTGTGAATGATCACTTCCACTTGAACGGAATGCTTGACACCGGCTCTATGTCCTGTACACTAAGTGAAGCAGCCGAACAAAAGTTGCTGTCTGAAAACGCTGTATTGGATAAGAGAGCACTCCCGGAGAATATTGTTCTTGTGGGTGTTGGAGGTAGGACGGCGCAACCAAAATGTTTGTACGAAGTT